GGAGAGGACCAACTTGGGCTCTTCCCTCCCACTGGAAACTTGTAGCAAAATGGAGGAAACCAGTCAACAGCCAGGATAAACCTTCAAATTTGGTGTTCAATCACATGCAAAGTGTACCTGGAACTTTCAACACACCATCAGTCCTCAATCCACAGCTTGTGTCACAGCAGCCACACACCTCCATCAGAAGATACCCATCTAAAAACAAATTTGTCTAGAGGATGCATTTACACAGTAGAGCTGCATCATGCACCCAGACTCATCCATTTGCTCTAAAAGAACAAGCCTTATGATTTATATCAACCTGCACCATAGCTGCACTTGCTTTTAGAAGACAAGTGATGTAAATCTGCAAAGACAGGCCACTTATTATATGCAACAAACTTCAAAAGCACTTGAAAAACACCGCACAAATACATACAGCACCACTGTTTTCTTGTTGGAACCTAAAGGCCTCCAACTGAAACTGGAGTTCGTCATCTTGCACTCTGGGCAGAAAGTTGGACATGGTGCCTGCATAATTTGCATCAGTCAAGCAACTGAAACAAAAGTGGTTTCATGAGAACCTTGATTTCCACACTTGTATGAGAACTCCATAGATGTTCTTACCCATGATTTCCAATAAATGAATACATGGGAGCAGAGTTCACATCAGGGCCTGTAGTGGCAACACAGTTGTCCACAAATATATGAAGGGGAACATGGTTGTACTGTTTCACAGATGCCTGAATATTTAAGATATCACCCAGAAAGAAAACATTTGAAGGCCTTTCAAACATCCAGTCATCTTTGAGGTGAAGAAAAACACACACCTCAAAATTAGAATATCATGAAAAAGGTCAATATTTTTTGTCACTCATTTCAGAAAGTGAAACCCATATATTATATAGATTCATTACACAGAGTGAAATATTTCAAGCCTTTATTTCTTAATTTTGATGATTAAGGCTTACAGATAATGAAAACCCACAATTCAGGGTCTCAGAAAATTAGAATATTGTGAAAAATATCAATATTGGAAAGTAATGGTGTCACACCCTAATCAGCTAATTACCTCAAAACACCTGCAAAGGTTTCCTGAGCCTTTAAATGGTCTCTCAGTCTGGGTCAGTAGGCTACACAATCATGGGGAAGACTGCTGACTTGACAGATGTCCAGAAGACAGTCATTGACACCCTCCACAAGGAGGGTAAGCCACAAAAGTTCAAAGAAGCTGGTTGTTCACAGAGTGCTGTATCCAAGCATATTCATAGAAAGTTGAGTGGAAGGAAAAAGTGTGGTAGGAAAAGGTGCACCAGCAAAAGGGATAACCGCAGCCTTGAGAGGATTGTCAGGCAAAATCCATTCAAGAATTTGGGGGAGCTTCACAAGGAGTGATGTTAATGCATTAACTAAGGTTAACTAATGAGGTCTTATTGTAAAGTGATACCTATTGGTCTTTATAGTTCTTTTGCACTTTAATCTGTGTAAAACTTTTAACTTTATACATTTTTCTGTATTGCTTTATTGCATTTAAATGTTCAGTTATTTTTGTTATAAGAAAAATGTTATTAAACCTGTTATACTGTATTATGACAGTACTTTTTTAAACTAAATTTCAATACCGTGATAATACCGCATACCGTGATAAAAGCATCAGCAATTAATTGCAACATGAAAATTTGATACCGGCATATCCCTAGATGAGTGTAATGAACGTAATCCAGACATACAGGTACATCTAAGAAAAATTTGAATATCATGAAAAAGGTCAATATTTTTTGTCACTCATTTCAGAAAGTGAAACCCATATATTATATAGATTCATTACACATAGAGTGAAATATTTCAAGCCTTTATTTCTTGAAATTTTGATGATTATGGCTTACAGATAATGAAAACCCACAATTCAGTGTCTCAGAAAATTAGAATATTGTGAAAAAGTTCAATATTGGAAAGTCATGGTGTCACACTCTAATCAGCTAATTACCTCAAAACACCTGCAAAGGTTTCCTGAGCCTTTAAATGGTGTCTCAGTCTGGGTCAGTAGGCTACACAATCATGGGGAAGACTGCTGACTTGACAGATGTCCAGAAGACAGTCATTGGCACCCTCCACAAGGAGGGTAAGCCACAAAAGTGCATTGCTAAAGAAGCTGGTTGTTCACAGAGTGCTGTATCCAAGCATATTCATAGAAAGTTGAGTGGAAGGAAAATGTGGTAGGAAAAGGTGCACCAGCAAAAGGGATAACCGCAGCCTTGAGAGGATTGTCAGGCAAAATCCATTCAAGAATTTGGGGGAGCTTCACAAGGAGTGCACTGAGTCTGGTGTCAGCGCATCAAGAGCTACTACGCACAGACGAATCCTAGACATGGGCTACAAATGTCGCATTCCTCGTGTCAAGCCACTCCTGAACCAGAGACAACGTCAGAAGCGTCTTACCTGGGCTGTGGAGAAAAAGAACTGGACTGTTGCTCAGTGGTCCAAAGTCCTCTTTTCAGATGAAAGTAAATTTTGCATTTCATTTGGAAATCAAGGTCCCAGAGTCTGGAGGAAGAGTGGAGAGGCACAGAAACCATGTTGCTTGAAGTCCAGTGTGAAGTTTCCACAGTCAGTGATGATTTGGGCTGCCATGTCATCTGCTGGTGTTGGTCCACTGTGTTTTCTGAAGTCCACAGTCAACGCAGCCATCTACCAGGAAATTTTAGAGCACTTCATGCTTCCATCTGCTGACAAGCTTTATGGAGATGCTGATTTCATTTTCCAGCAGGACTTGGCACCTACCCACACTGCCAAAGGTACCAAAAGCTGGTTAAATGACCATGGTGTTACTGTGCTTGATTGGCCAGCAAACTCGCCTGACCTGAACCCCATAGAGAATCTATGGGGTATTGTCAAGAGGAAGATGAGAGACACCAGACCCAACAATGCAGATGACCTGAAGGCCGCCATCAAAGGCAGGACTTTGGCAATGAGCAAATTCACAACATGGTTAAAAGCCAGAATACACACCAAAAGCTGACTACCACACTTCTGAAGTTCAGATTGAAAGATCAGAACTCTGGCAGCTGCATCCGAATTCACTACACCGCAGCCCCCTAGAGATAGAGAGGGCTCAAGCAGCTGGCCAGTACCAAAGAAGTCCTGCTTCACTTCCACATGCACCCCATTTTCCCAACACTGGACAGCTACACTGCCGGAAAGTTGAGGCTGCTGCAACTCAAAGTTAAAATCCGGCTGTACTGGCTCTTCTGGGACCTTTGGGAACTTCCAGGTCAGCTCCCTGACAGGGCCCAGCAATTATTGTTTGGACTGAATACTTGAAGGTGCCAGATCTGTAGTAAGTGGGGCCAGCTGGGGCCTCTGAGATTGAACTTCATAAGGACCTTGGATTGGATCCCACTGCTCCTTAAGCAGAGAATCAACCCTTTGAGGTTCTTCCGTCAGCACCCGGGGGCGTTGGTCTGGCACTGTACACATGATCAAATGCAGCCAGCACTAAAAGCCCAAGCACACATTGCCTAAGCCCCATTACCACAGCCACCATCTTACCACACAGCCACACTGCAGTAAGGTGTTGTAGCACTATTTTATAGTGTCATGAATACTATCCCCGCCCACCCCCAAACAAGCTTAATTGCTCTGTGGACCATCCTAATCACAGAATCAATGCCTCAGCTGCACTGAAGTTCACTCATCACACCCCGAAAACAAAGCAAATGTAAATTAAAAAACAAAGGAAACATTTTAGTGCTTCTGTTGCTTTTATTTTAAGATATACAGTTTTTGACCTAAGTTTTTGATAGTTATCTTGGGGATAGAGATATCATTAATATTTCTTACATTGTTAATGTCTGATGTGCTCTTGTCTCCACCACAATACGTTACTTTGAATGCACATCTTCAACTTCCTCATAATCATATATTTATTTGTAATGAAGACTGATTGACTACATTTAGATGAATGAAAATAATCCAGTGGTTCCTGTAAGTGAGTGCAGGAACAGGGGCTGCACATTCCTAAACTGATCAAATTACCAAAATACTGTCTGGAGATCATACAGTGGCTACCAATATTGTGTTTAACTATATGCCACACCTCTCTACTTCAAAGTGACACTTTCAGATTTTTCTGAAAATCCTTGACGGTAAGTGCAAACACATGCGCCAGCCACATGCTAAGGGAAACAAAAGCCTATTAACAGAAGACTATGATGGCGATAACATCTACAGGAACTTCCAAATACAGCCCCATTATGTTCAAATAGACTCTAAACATGTCACAGGAAGATGGGAATTTCACAGGGAAAATAAATCGCAATTAATCACAGCACTTTACCTTGTTCAGCCTTAATACATAAGTTTTGTTCTAAATAAAAAAGAATACCTTGAATTTAAATGAATAACGCTGTGGCATTGACACTGTAAAATGATATCAAACCTTTTTTCCTTTTTGAGAAGGCCTCTGCTAAAAAAACAAAACACTTGGCACTGGCACCTTTTAGGATAACTTTAATTGAACAATGAATACACTATTTAGTGTAAAAATAGTCTTGCTGTGCAAGCTCTCTCGTTTAACCTCTTAATGGTAATGGACAATGAGGGTCATATTCAGGGTCTCAGGGTAGGCTAGAGGAAACCGGTAAAGGTTTCAACTTAAGAAACAGGATGGGAAAATCACTTATGTTCAAAACACATGCCATCTATAAAATAAGATCCATTAAGGGTTCTACTGAAAATCACACTATAACTATATAAATGTAAGACTTCACACAATAATGGGTCTTTACAATTTAATTGTAATGATGAAAACAGAGCGATTGAGTCAGTAAAATGTTTTCTCACCAAATATGAATCCATACACTGAATGCTTGTATCTCAATGCCAAATATCTCAATGAATTCCAGTAGCAAATTAGACATATGATGAATCATACAGAAAAATCACTTATGTTCAAAACACATGCCATCTATAAAATAAGATCCATGAAGGGTTCTACTGAAAATCACACTATACACACTATAACTATATAAATGTAAGACTTCACACAATAATGGGTCTTTACAATTTAATTGTAATGATGAAAACAGAGCGATTGAGTCAGTAAAATGTTTTCTCACCAAATATGAATCCATACACTGAATGCTTGTATCTCAATGCCAAATATCTCAATGAATTCCAGTAGCAAATTAGACATATGATGAATCATACAGACACTCTTTTATCTGTCCCTGATCTCTACACAGACACATTCCGTGATGGAGACAGGAGACTGGATATGTTTATCACTCTGCAAAACACATGCAGAGTTCCTGTGCAGGTTAGACCTCGCTATCAAGGTCAGTAATCTAACCTCAACTTTGACACTGCTGACAGACCAGTGAGTGAACATTTATTTAATTTTATCCAAATGAAAATGAGGTATAGCTGAAGTGTTATCAAATTGTATACTTTCACAAAATGTTCATGCCCATGAATTTAGAGTGATCAATTTAGACTTTTATTCCATAGTGATTTCATAGTCTTTGAAGACAGATTTGAGCTTTTCCACTGTGAGAGCATGGTCAGCCTTCCCATATCCCTAGAAAAAGAAAAGAAATGTGAGATAATCTCTTTAAAAGCAGGCTTTGACTCAAAACACCAAGAACATCTCTAACAAATAACATTTGTATGAAAGATATGAAAGGCCAACACTTGTTTTAATGCACTGCGGGTTTCTTCACTTTACATATCCGGTCTATTTTATGCATATTAAAGGGTCTCCTTATAATTATGAGATGTGATCTGATCTCGTATGAAATTTATTTGAAATAAAGAAAGATAAATATCTGAATAGTAGGCCTACTTCTACCTTTTGTGCCTCTATGATACTGTAGTTGTTGCAGGTGCCCATGTAACCCCTGCTGTAACTTTATGTCACAATATTAAGTGGTTGTTATAATGGTTAAGGGTGTTACCGTAGACTCTCCAAACACCCGAAGTTTCTTTTCTGTGTTGTTGTGCTCAATCTTGCCACCACCAAGACAACTACACTCCAGTCCCAAAGCCTCCATAGCAGGATTCACTTTTTCAAATATGTGATCTAAATAAAAAAGTTGAGTGATGTAATGAACCATTCCAGAAGTGATCATGATCATGTTTATTCTGAGATCTGCTGTAAGTTTCAGTCTGGTGAGACTGACAACAGTTAAACACACCAACAAAACACATTCCTACAGCGGCTAGTACTATATCTTCTTCAAAACTTAGCATGTCAATCAAGCCTCAAAATTAATTCAATGATACCTGTCAATCATTTATACTGACGTTTTTTTATATTGACACGTTACTAGATGTTTCCCTCAATGCCCACAAACAGTGATGAACAGAGTGGTCAATGGATGTAACCAGTTGATTTATAAATACTGCTGAGCTGGCTGAGAAGGATAAAGTTAACTCGCTGGCTTGCAGAAACAGACAGTCGCGCTATTGCACTTGCAAGCGTGCACACTTACTGTGGTACTCTGCAGTTTTAGTTCCCCTCACTATCACTTTTTGTTCCGTTCCACCTTTAACCTTTATGTTCACTAATATGTATTTAAACTTTCCCTCCGGATCAATGTCGACATCGGGCACTTTGCTCAGAGCGTCTGCCATCTTCGCTGTGGCAGCTGCAGGCAACAGTCAAACGAACCTTATACAGTCATCACGCGCGCCGGTATGCTATATCAACAGATTCCAAACCGGAAATACGTAATAAAAATAACACGAAGATAAATGTAAATTAGAACGAATGAGTGAATTAATGGATTAATATTGGTAGAAACTTAACTGTAAATGTTTTTGAAGAAAGGGGCAGAATCTATCAATGGAGTAAATTAATTAGTACAAAATATAAATTCAGACATGTTTTTATTATTGTTGTTGTCTGGTTCTTCATACAGTTTACGTCAAGCTTGAAAAAAATTAAAAGTAGCTTGTCAGTGTGACTTTGTGCCTGTTATCTCCCTCTCACAACCTCTTCCTTTCTACAGACCTGCCGACTTTCCCTCCAGGCCCACATCAGCATAGATAATTATGAGATGTGATCTGATCTCGTATGAAATTTATTTGAAATAAAGAAAGATAAATATCTGAATAGTAGGCCTACTTCTACCTTTTGTGCCTCTATGATACTGTAGTTGTTGCAGGTGCCCATGTAACCCCTGCTGTAACTTTATGTCACAATATTAAGTGGTTGTTATAATGGTTAAGGGTGTTACCGTAGACTCTCCAAACACCCGAAGTTTCTTTTCTGTGTTGTTGTGGTCAATCTTGCCACCACCAAGACAACTACACTCCAGTCCCAAAGCCTCCATAGCAGGATTCACTTTTTCAAATATGTGATCTAAATAAAAAAGTTGAGTGATGTAATGAACCATTCCAGAAGTGATCATGATCATGTTTATTCTGAGATCTGCTGTAAGTTTCAGTCTGGTGAGACTGACAACAGTTAAACACACCAACAAAACACATTCCTACAGCGGCTAGTACTATATCTTCTTCAAAACTTAGCATGTCAATCAAGCCTCAAAATTAATTCAATGATACCTGTCAATCATTTATACTGACGTTTTTTTATATTGACACGTTACTAGATGTTTCCCTCAATGCCCACAAACAGTGATGAACAGAGTGGTCAATGGATGTAACCAGTTGATTTATAAATACTGCTGAGCTGGCTGAGAAGGATAAAGTTAACTCGCTGGCTTGCAGAAACAGACAGTCGCGCTATTGCACTTGCAAGCGTGCACACTTACTGTGGTACTCTGCAGTTTTAGTTCCCCTCACTATCACTTTTTGTTCCGTTCCACCTTTAACCTTTATGTTCACTAATATGTATTTAAACTTTCCCTCCGGATCAATGTCGACATCGGGCACTTTGCTCAGAGCGTCTGCCATCTTCGCTGTGGCAGCTGCAGGCAACAGTCAAACGAACCTTATACAGTCATCACGCGCGCCGGTATGCTATATCAACAGATTCCAAACCGGAAATACGTAATAAAAATAACACGAAGATAAATGTAAATTAGAACGAATGAGTGAATTAATGGATTAATATTGGTAGAAACTTAACTGTAAATGTTTTTGAAGAAAGGGGCAGAATCTATCAATGGAGTAAATTAATTAGTACAAAATATAAATTCAGACATGTTTTTATTATTGTTGTTGTCTGGTTCTTCATACAGTTTACGTCAAGCTTGAAAAAAATTAAAAGTAGCTTGTCAGTGTGACTTTGTGCCTGTTATCTCCCTCTCACAACCTCTTCCTTTCTACAGACCTGCCGACTTTCCCTCCAGGCCCACATCAGCATAGCTACTGTATCTAATTAAAAATAGGCCTAATTCCTGTGTTTCTTGTTTTAGGAAATGTTTCCATGTTGTTCATCTAGAATAAAAATAAATAAATAAAAAATCCCAAATGAATGCCATAAAAGATGAATGAAAGAGGATCATCTTGGAGTAACCAGGACGTTGTGCATTTTCACCAACACCAAAAATGTCTGTCTGATTGTTTGTTTTGTATGACTTGTTATTGTTATATGAAGTTTATTTAAGCTTTGATGTTATCAATTTAACAATTATTGCTACTTTTCTATTGCCTTTTATGTAGAGATTTTATTGCTTAAACCATGACCCAGACTTTCAATCATAAACTGAAAACTGAACTGAATCTATCATAAGCCTAATATCATCATAAAAATGTTTATTAGCCTACATTTTAAAAACTGTGATAATCCAAAGCACAATCATTAACCTTTCAAGTATTTATTGCGAAAATGTTTTTTATTTGCAACTGTCCCTTAGTTGTGACATAATTTCTATCAGATACATTTGCCCAAATAAAACGATAAATATCACATGTAGAATAACACTTTTTTTTATATAGTGCAGCTTTTCCTAGCAAGCTGTACTTTTGAAACATAGAAAGTCAGACTTTTTTTTCAAATATTTTTTAAATGTTATTTGCATCATCACCATTTCCACATGTACCATTTTAATTAATTCATTCTGCTTCTAGCCCAGTCTAAGATGTGATAACTATATCATTGTAAATAAATTCATCCACTCTGATCATTCAGGTGAATAAAAAGAATAGAAACAATCATCCTTCATTGGAGATGTTTATATCAGATTTGTTTTTAAATGGATATGTTTGAATGAGTTTTTTTATCAATTAGATAAGTTAACTCTCACAAATTATTTTGACACACATTTATTATTATTCTTTTCTCTTCTTTGCTTACTAGTAATTTTCCGGTGCCCTCATGGCAGCTATTTCTGTACACATTAAATACACATTATATACACATTATATTTCAAACACATTAAACAGAGTGGCATCCAAAAAGGGTCAAGTCACACAGAAATAAAGCTACAAAAACTCAAACTTCAAAACGAGAAACCTCTGGGGATCTTAAGTACAATAACAGCTTTTAAACAAAGAAAATTTGAAACAGGCCAGATAGGTTTAATTACTAAGCAAATATGTCTCACTTTCACATACAATTATTCCTGTCTTACTTTTGATTTTTACTTAAACTGAATTGTAAATATTCGTATGGGTGTTCCTTGTAATAAGTGTTATTATTATTGTTATTTTTACTTTTGCATGATCAGTTTGTAAAATTAATTCATTGTCTTAAAATGTTATGGTATATTTTCCATGTCATTTGCAACACAGAGTAGAAAAAGTCACCATTAATTGTATTTCCAAGTAACTGGGAAGATACAGTAAAGGCACCAATGGAATATTACTGGCAACAATTCCTAGTGATTCCCCTCTCGACCCATTATATCCTTTTTTCCTTTACAAACAGAGCTGAAAATATTCAGGAAATGTGAGTGTTTCTGCCATTAGATCTCCCTGTTGATTACTTTTTCACACCAAAAAGTGAAAGTTGTAATTGTATACACACAAAAAATAAATAAATACATTTTATACCATTTAAAAAAAAATCATCATGAAAGTGTTATTTCTATTTCTGAATATACTGAGAAAATATGCATTCCTCCTGCTATGGCCATATCAGCACTAAAAGCTCTACAGTATTTCCTGAGAGGTCACTTCCTAGCAAACTAACGCCTTGAGAGTGTAAAAAAGAGAAAGTGTTTCCTCCTTGAGTTAGAGAGGGGTATTTCCACAAATTAGAATTCCATTGCTTTTGCTGGCTGATGTCGCACGTGGATCCGGGAAGGGAAGTTCTGAACCATAGCTGCATGAGCTCCTTTATAAATACCCCAACAGAGCGATTACCAGACCAGATTCTCAAATCAGAACCATCATATTAGTAGAGAAGTCCAGAGACGACCATTAAGAGGACCATTTCATAGCTGTACAGCTGACAATGGTACGTAAAGCATTTAAATTATGCATTTCTATAATTTTAGTATCAATAACTATTATGTTCATACAGTTGATATAATTCTTTAATTTTGCAGGGTATCTTCAACAAAGTATCATTGCAATTTTTGGCTTCCCTTGTTCTTATTTCTTCAGGTAAGAAAGCAAACCGTACTAGTGTAAAATCTCAACTGAGTATATACAACCTCTAAACATAGTTTACTCAAAGTTGCAATGGTTTAATTCTGCAGTGCTAAACTTATGGAGAGGCACTGAAGGCTGGTCATACAATTCCTCAACGTTCACTATGAACTGGGAATCTGCCAGACACTGGTGCAGGCAGCATTACACAGACATGGTAGCCATCCAGAACAAAGAAGAGATTTATCACCTCAACAGTATCCTTCCAAAAGTCAGAGGATATTACTGGATTGGCATTCGTAAAATTAATGGCAGTTGGACCTGGGTGGGAACTAATAAGACACTTACCAAGGAAGCCGAGAACTGGGCAGATAAGGAGCCCAATAATGGAGGGAATAATGAAGACTGTGTGGAAATATACATTAAAAGAGGGAAAGATGAAGGCAAATGGAATGATGAATCCTGCTTGAAGAAGAAGACTGCACTCTGCTACACGGGTAGGTAGTCTTTATGCAATTCTAAAGTTTTTCAAGGCAGGAGTTCACAAACTTTGGGGGGCTAGGGACCCCATACAGGGGAGAAAACATTTCCAAGGATCGCCTCATAATTATAACAGTGTTTAAGCATATGCATACTACAATTTGCACTCTTAGATGACTTTTTTTTTTTCTGTTTTAATTTTTCTGGATTTTTCTTTAATGGGTAAATTAAACTGTCGTAATCAAAAAGCATATTTGATGAGATTTCATTAACTGAATAATAAAACTTTAATGTAACAACAATTTATCAACTTTTATTTTATAACTTATTTAACTATTGCTTAATTTTTTGTCAAACAAAGTGGCGCATAACAGAGCTTTACTGTTAAAATTAGGCTGCTTTTGATTTATTCATCCATGTTTTGCCAAATTCCATAACATTCCCGCATTACAAAATCAATTACATTTTATGACCACATTTTCCCTATTGTGGAAATCATATGGCCCTAATATTATTTTGTGGACCCCCTGGCAATGGGTTGTAAGGTCTTCCAACCTATGCATTTTTCAATTTAAATGAAAGAAAGGTCATTCTGCTCTATTCATTGAATAAACACATTCATTAATGTAATGTAATGTAATGTAATAAGTAATTATCCATTTTTTCTTTCTCAGCATCCTGCAAAGACAACTCCTGTGTCAGTGGTCAAGGAGAGTGTGTCGAAACCATAAACA